AAATTTGAACATTTTGGGAGAGATTCTAGAATTTGGGGAAGAGGGGGAGCACCCTGGCTTCATTGCTTGGGGAGAGCCCTGCCAGTAGCGCAATTCCCTACCCAGAATTACAATCCACATTATTATTACATCACTGTAACCCCCTAATTCTCAATCCTTTATACCCACACCTGTAACCCTAAACCCTTTCACAATATCTCCAATAGTTGTATTGTTCTGGATATCAATGGCCAAACGGAAAAGGAACAATATTCCTGTCAGTTTACCTGTTATTAAGTAGGGCATGTATATTGATTAGCAGTAAACATGGTACATGTGTCTGAAATTGTTACCTCTTGCTATTGATGTTATGGGAAAAGATAGGTGGATGAGATTTACGAACTGTAATATGAATTAATATTTATGTTGCAAATGCTTTGGTATTAAATTTACTGAATGTTTCAAGATGGACTCCTACTATTATAGATATTGTTAACAGTTGTACTTTAGGTATAACTTATAGTATCAACAGCTATATAACAACAAACAATATTAGTACATTATGAGGCTAATTTTGTAACATGTCACTACGAATTTAATTTCAATCCACGTGCACTGAGAGAAAAGACTTGTATATTGGGAATTATGCATGGTATTCCTCTTCTGTTAGTTCTGGACAAAATCTTTGGATAACAGATATTTTCTGGAAGTTCCCAGTTTCTATACTAAAATGATTTAATTTATTGTTTGAAAGTTAGTTAACTTGCTTTAGGGCACACCAATTTGATTTGTTGGTTCTCAGATTGTTTAAGAGAAAACATGAAGTGACAGGGCGAAAAAAAAAGACCTAGGCATCCTCTGATAGCCCCAAAGCAAAAGCTACATGTACGATTGACAGGAGCCATGAAGTCAACTTACCAGACTGGTTTATAATTCAAATAATGAATTGTAAACTTGTTGTGAAACCACTGCATTGATACATAAAAAAATTAACACTTTGGAGTTGATTTAGAGTCTGAAATCTTTTTTTTTAATGAAGCAGTCAAATCTGAGAACCAACAGATTAAATTGGTGTGGCCTAATGACTCTTATATCATTACACTTAATGAGGTTATTTACCCCCTCCCTTTGCCTGGAGTGGGCCCAGCCTTCCATCTGGTTTAATTTCGTTAGGAACCTGTATGGTGTCCGCAGACGCAAGTTCGTTAGTTATTGTAGCTGCCGGCCAATCGTGGAGATGTTCAATTATTAGCCAACCGTCACATCGTCATTCCTACTATGAGTGTAGTTTATTGGCTGTGTATGTAATGATTCTACTCCAAACTGAGTGGCTGATTGCACCATTGTACACAGTGTTTATGTCCTTGCAAAAGAAAAACTGGTTTCAATTGAAGTTTATGATTGTGAAGAAGTTAAAAAGGCATCCAATGCATCAGGGTTGCAAAACAAAAAAGAAACATATTGTGAATGAGGAAATCTGCCTGATATTGACATTTTCTGCCATTTTTGTGATAATTTCCTACATCAGAAATACCTGCACAGCTCAATTTTTACCTGTACTAAGGTGCATATACACCCAGTATTTGGAGACTGAGAATAGACATGTAATGCATTATGAATGGGTTATATTTCCACCAAAAAATACACTTCGTTGTGCCAAATGAGGTTTATACCATATAATGAGATTCTTTTGCGTTGAATTTAGAAGTATCGCTATTATTCAATTCTAGAATGTTCATTCTAGAGAGTTGACAGAAAAACTCTCAGAAAGTCAGCCTTTATGAAGAATGCATTCCGTGACCTTTGAGCACGGCTATATAAGATAACGCGATCAATCAAGGACAAAAATATGGCCCAGAAGAAAGTCAAGGGCAATCTTCCAAATACCAGAAGGTCGAAAGAAAAGAAGTAATGACTGTCACATCAACATTGTCTAGCAAGCAACTTAACATTACAAGGCAACAGTTGCCTAGCCTGGGTGCCAGCCCCTTTCGCAAGGGAGTGTTAATCTCCTTCGGCCATAGAAGCCATATGCCCCACCAGGCCCTAGTTGGCACCCTGGCTCTAATATATATACATGTAATTATCTTCTTGCCATCATGAAAGATAAAGGGCTTGGGCGGATACTTTTGGAAGCAGATATTAGATTTCTCTCCCCCAAAAATCTGCCTACTGCCTAAAATCTATTACTTGTGAAACACCAGCGTCTGGCACCCAGGCTACAGTTGCCAAGTTATAAAGAAACAAGTGGTGCCCCCCACCTCCAATTTTGAATGGACTTGTCCAGGTGAGACTAGAGATTACCTGAGCAGGTAAGATGGAAGGGAAGACCAATGGGAAGACGGGGAAGAAGTCGGTAACTGGCTGGCGACCGTTGAACCGGTGTCCGTGCAGGGGTGCAGAGGGGGTACGGTATGACCCCTTGGGTCAGGACAGCCCCATCAAAGTGTACGCCTCCACTGAGGACATTCTGGTAGCCCTGATAAAAGGTACACGGAGCTGACACCATTGTCTTGGTATTTACTGTACATCTGGACATTTTTGCTGTGTTTTAAAGTTTTCAGTTACTGTGTACACTGTGGACGTATGTTCTATCTTCTACTGTATTACAATTGCAATTCGTTCAAAGAAATTCTCTGTTGACTCTTGATGTTCACTGATTTTTTTCATCCAGATTTTAGTGGTGCAAACTTAACTGAATTTTACAGTACTAATGGTAGAGTACAAAGGAAATAGTATTTGTAAAAGTAATGAACATTTGTAGTGTCTTGTTTAGCCTACAACATTGTGCTTTCTGATATTCTTTGTCTTCCTACTCTTACAAATATCACATCAGTATTTGATTTCTTACACTTATTAAATATTAATGAAAGATAACGGAAATCATTGTAAAACTTATTTTGTTCCTTTCATGTAAGACCATTTGATATTTTGATACAAGGAAATTATGGTACATGTATTAACACACTGTATCTAGGACTTTGCTTGATACAAAACATGCATTGTACTTGGTGTCAAGTAACTTTGCATCTGGTAAGAGCCCTTGAGACTTTGTCAAGACTGATTACTTAAAGTGAGTCGAACACAATTGATGACAGTAATATGTACTGACATTATACATACTTCCTTTGTTGTAGCAGATTATTGATATTATACACAGTAACTCCAGTTGGACGTTGTTTCCATAATAAACAAGAAATGCCTTTTAAAAAGCTGGCCGAGGGCCAAGACGGGAATAGCTGGTTGGGTGGTGTAAGTGTGATGACAATGTGTGACTCAAATAATTGGTCACCTTAGTTGGCTAATAAGGCTGGACTCATTTACTAAGTTGTACAATAATATTGTAATGTATCATGAGCTCTTTCTAACAGAGAATAGATATCATGAAATATTTGTAAAAGTTTATGTGTCTGAGGTTACATGAGGTAAAGAATTGCATCACTGTCTTCTTGTTTTATTCCCCCAGGCTTTCCCTCCTGACATCTGCTTGGTTTTCATAGTATACTTCCTAAATACTGAGTGATGCAGGTAAAATTTTGCTGGTGCCTGTAATTTTCAATGCACCGGTGCAGGTATGCAGAAAAAAAGTGTGTCGAAACTTTCTCTAATATTTCCTAAACTTCCTACAGTAGTATGATAATATTATGATTTGCGAGGACTGTTAGAACTCATCTGCTTGGTTTTCATAGTTAACTTCCTAAATACTGAGTGGTGCAGATATAATTTGCCAGGTGCAGGTAATTTTAAACGCGTTACCTGCCGAGAGACTCGAGACCTGCTCTAACATTTCCTAAACTTCCTACTGTGGTATATGATTTGTGAGGACTTTTAGTAAGAGCTCTTCTGACAGAGATATAGTAGAATCACATGCACTGCTGTTAGCCCCCCTCCATAGAGGAGTGCATGCGAAAATGTGTGTCAAAACCCGCTCTAACATTTGCTGAACTTCCTACTGTGGTATATGATTTGCGAGGACTGTTAGAGCTTTCCTGACAGAGATATAGTATATCCGGTTGCTCTGCTGTTAGCTCCCCTCCATGGATCATCAAGTCCCGTCGCTTCTTCTCATGTGGGTGCGAGAATTTACCACCGCTCCGGATCAAAGTTCTCCCGAGTCATTTGTACACACGTTCGGGAGCGTGAGATCGTGGGACGCGGATCCGTTAGGGTTCCAAACTAACACCTGGGAGAGGCTCTCGGCATCATGTCCTGATGTTTGTAATGGACTTTTGATCTGCGGCGTTATGTAAAACATCCCTGCGTAATTGACATATTGCTCCTCGGGATAAGTCGGGAAATTTGATTTCGGGTCCACGTCCATTACTCGGGCCGATTCGGAAAGCGGCGGGAGATTAGGGCGCCGTATATTTTCATTAGGGTCCGGGGAGCATCTGGGACGGGCGAATCCCCGGATGGATTTTCCGGAGGTGACTTACGATCGCAGATGCTCCCGAAAGTTTGATCAAGCCACGACGGATCGAAAAGTTGTCCAGAGTTTGATGAAAACTTTCTTTGTGAAGTGCTTAAGCAATGTCATGCCAGTAGTGTTTTGTTAGTACCCTGAGAGTATGGATAATGTGGACATAGAACTTTATTGCATGACAATTGTACAATTGGTACAATGTATTGCAACAGCTGTTCAACATATATGTACATGTAGTAGAAAAAAGTATAGAATAAAACTAAACAACACTAAAACAACATTAGAGCTCGTATATTATACAATCAAATACATGTAATGAGTTTTGGTATTTTTCTAATAACAAAGCAGACCGACCCTAGAAAAAACTGCTGACTAGCCTTTTTTGCAATGGACCCCTGCAAGGGACATATTAACTTTTCTGGCTCCATGATCTGACACCTGAGTGAAGAATCGTTGTACGATCGGTTTTCCAACATTGATATTGAAAATATAAATGTTCTCATGCAAGTTTTGCAAAGTTCTACAGTTCCATAACATTCACTCACAGATTCAAAAAACTTTCCATGAGTCTTAAATATCAGATGTCTTGTGTCCACAGGAAGTGATGACTGTTCTGAGGACGCCGTGGTGGGAAATGTTAACAAGTTCTGTGTGGTGCCGCCGGGGTACAACTCCCAGCCACGCAGGGGACACCTCATCTTCGACGCCTGCTTCGAAAGCGGTAAGAACACAGGAAACAGCCTCCAGTTTAATTCGGGAAGTCCAGTTTAATTCCCAATTCTGCAGAATACTACTCAAGGAACTGAAGCCAGAATTCTGCAGAATTCTGGCTCTAGTGCCTGGAATTTTGGCTCCAGATCCAGAATTTTGGCTCCAGTTCCCAGAGTTCTACAGAATTGGGTTAATTCCCAATGGGACCTAGATTGCTGATATGTATATCTTACATCATTTTTACCCCTAGTTTACGATATTAGCCCATCTAGATTTAAGGTAGCTGAGATATGGGAATTAGTCCAGATTCTGAATTAAACGCGAATTTCAGACCCTTCCTCTGGACTAAGAGGTTGGGAGTTCAAATCCGGGCTGTTGTGGCTTTCCTGGCATGTAGTCCTTAGGACGGGACAATGTGCTGTAGTCCAATGTTCGTCGTGCTTGTCAAAAAGAGCTAGTGGAATTTCCCAGGTACAATGAACCTGTAAATACTGCACATAGTAGTATGAACATAAAAGTTAGCCAAGCCTTGGAGTACTAACTTCAGAATTTACTCCAAGGTACCACCATTTTATTTGGCCCTCAAGCTACCAAAAGGTCAAAGCTTATACCATAAAATATGGTCTACAAAACTCCGCCGGACCCTGAAACAACAAAACATGCAGCTCGTTCCATGAAAAGTCATTCGTCTTACACTATACGCAATGAAGATATTAACCTCTTAGGGCGGCACTGATACTTAAGGTCATACAGGGTTCTTTTTGTGACTTCGGTCGTATCTTGAAAAGCATAGCCACTGGGATGAGATCAATCTAAGAAACTCTACCAGCTGTTTTAAGAAAGTTGTAAGAACAGTGCCGTCATCAGATATGTCTTAAGGTCACTTGTAGGCTTCGTTTGTGACTTCGGTCGTATCTTGAAAAGCATAGCCAGTGGGACGAGATCAATCTAAGAAAGTCTACCGGCCATTTTAAGAAACTTATAAGAACCCTGCTGTCATCGGATATGTCTTGATTTCGGGCCGGCTCCAGCAAGGATCTTATGACCATGTCTTATGTTTCCCCTCGGCATTACGCTAAGGACTTGATCTTGGTTCTTTATCCCAGTTGTATGTCATGTCATGCCAAGATGAAAGAAGTCGCCATAAGGCTCAATTCTCCACAGCATCGGCCCCATCCTTTCGGAGCATAATACTCCCGTTTTGCATGTTGTTTATGGCATCCTTCGATGCCTGCCAATGATTTTTTTCTTTCAACCTCCTCGGCATCACTTTCATCTATTTTGATAGATGTTTTATCGCTTTCTTTCAAAGTAACTTCATTGTCATCCGTGCGCCGGCTAGTGATTTTGGAACAGATATCGAGAACGGCTTTTGAAAAGACAGCCGTTACGAAGACAAAAGGAAGCCATGTACAACAGGTCCTTGACTTTTTAGAGAACCTGATCCAGCAATAAAATGTGCCAGTTGTCGGCTGTTTCCTTGATCCCGAGAGTTACTGCTATCTAGAACTGCACTTTGAGTCTATCCTCTGTACCGATCCTCCGTCCTTTGTGCGCGTAGCCCATTTGCCGTAAGCCGTTATAACTGTCACACTGGAAATGTCCCATCTAGAAAGGAGCTCCCTACCCAAACCTAAGTCTCTCCATGTGTCACATGTAAGACATTACCCAGTTTACAGTCATCTGGCTCACGTTATAATGGATCTTTAATACCAAGTTCAAGCGACCTGGAAATCTCGCTGGCCATTCGGAGTCCGAAACTGCGTCAAGTTTTGCCTGTCTGGTCCTTTATCCTGCAGAAGATGAAAGCTGAAACTCTAACGTTCATCAAAGTTCCAAGCCCGCCCGACTCTGCTGTATTCAGATCTTCTGGCTTAGCGGAAAGTTTGATCCCAATGAGTCAGTGCGACACTGATGGATAAGTGGGATGAAGACCAATGCTTCAACCATCCGAGTGATCAGTGTTCTAGCCAGCGTCTGTCTTTCTATCATCTCACAGAATTTTGCCGCTCGTGACAGAGAAAAATTTTGCCCAATTTGTCGTCTTTGATTTAAAAAAAAATAGGTGTGTAAGGATATGGAAAAATTGTAATCAACTTAAGCTTAATCAACCGGTAAAATTTACCCGCCTCAAAATACAGGAAATATCGGTTTCAGAAGGTCAAGATTTCAAAATTTTCAGAGGGAGCATGCCCCCTGCTCCTTATAGTGTTGTCACACTGCCAGTGCAATACCGTGCGACTTGATGTTGCAACAACCAAAATTGAGATGACGAAAAAAAAATTCAGGCCTCCTACTAAACCACCAGCATTTCACACTGCAAACTGCTTACTGTGCCAGTGGCAGGGTTACAGACCTTTTTAGTGATAGACGATCTGCCTCAAAGTCATATGAGAGGGGTTTTGAAAGAGATGAACAGCTTGTCATCACTGCAATATAGACTTCAAAAAGGAGATTTTGGGTTATAGACTTGTCTAGTATGGGGGAAAGCTGTGAACTGTGATGTGTTATGAAATATGTATTTGGTTCAAGGACAAATGTATAGAATTTAGCATTATCAATGTTGTAGATTTTTTGCAACGTATAAGACTTGAAAGTATCGAAATACATCATACAGAACTGAAACAATATTATGTCCAGTGTCAGTTATGTGATTCTATCAATGATGTCTGTCTTTTCGTCATTTCACTGAATATTTCTGCTCACGACGGACTAATATTTTGCCCAATCTGTCATCTTTGACAGACGAAAATCAGTGTATAAAGATACAGAAAGAGATGTCATTGAACTCATCTCAGACTACCAGCAAAATTTGCCTCGAAAAAAGCAGGAAATAGTGTTTCATGTACTGAGACTCCCCTAGGATTGCATGCTTGACTTGATGTTACGTCAAACACAGTTGGGACAGCTTAAAAAAAATTTCAGCCAAGCTAGCACACTGATGTATGAAATCATCAAATCCCTGCTTCGAGAAACTAAATGCCATATCCCACGGGGCTATAACCTTTCTAGACCTCCAGCCCACTCCAAAAGTTCACTGCACCCAAGACTTTGTACCTGTCAGCAATCGATTCAGTATGTTGTAAAAATGATAATTTGCATGATTATAATCTATGATGTCCAGAAAATGTTTTAAAATGCCAATGATTCTTATTTTCTCAATATTTCCTCGCATGACCATACATACATACATACATACATACATACATGTACATCATACATTGTACACACTAAATATTTGTACAAAATACCAGTGTACAGTACAACATGACAGAAAATAGGTGATTTTTTAATGAAATTTCAACCATGGCTATCCAATAATTTGCCAACAGAACAAAGAGCCATCTAAATTTCGACATCAGTTGGCCTTGAATTTGGCCAATAATCTTTGGTAACCTCGTAAATGATGGCAGCCAAAAGCATGTAGCCTTGAGTGTTGCACATAATCATCGATTGCAGCCAAACGAAAAGGGAACTACAGTCACAATTGTTGCAACAAACAATGTTTTCCTTTGAAAGAGGCACCTGAAAAAAAATCAGCATCTGGTTTAGGTGAGATAAAACTCATCAGTCATACTTTGAGAGCGCGTGATGTCTAATTACGAGAGATCCAGCCGGCTGCACATGAAGATAATTCGCTAAAGATGAACCCAAGTTTATTCTAACACCCCCCTGGGGGCCGCATTTGCATGATACGGCATTATCTATTGACGGTAGCAGCTTGAGCTATTGCTCACAGGCATGTATAGCGATCTGGCTCTCGCATTTTTATGCACCCGGTATGCCCCGGTGCAATATTTGATAAATAATGGCCGCTTTGCATTTTATGAAGGCTGGATTTAGCGGGTAATGAGATGGAATTTTGCCGTGCGGACGATCAATAGCGTCTAGACGCGTGCCGAAGGTGATCGGGCCGGCTTGTCCATTAGCGAGCGTAATTCCGATGAATTTTGTAAAATGGCATTAAATTGACCATAATGGGCAGCTTCCATCATTCTCATGAAAGCAATGACCACATTGCCGGTTTCACATATTTTGTTCCTTTCCCGCTCGGCTGTTATGTTTTAAACACATTCCTACAGCCATTTTTCTTGGGGAGAAAAGGAAGTACGTGTAGAAGGCAGCCATTTTGTGGTGCACCACAGGAATTCTGTTTTGTGTTGCTTGGGGCAGAGATACATTATTAGTGAGAGGTCCATAATATCAACTATAATACAAAATATTCCAGCAAAAAAAAGCCCTGTTGAAAAGATTCGCTGTAATTAAACCACTGGAAATCAAAATGCTTCAACCTGCATAACAGTTTAATTTTGTAATTTCAATGTAGATCAGAAATGCATTATAATATATTTAATATTATGTAGGATCTCTCTTTTATATGCAAGGTAACTGAATACAGTACTGTATGTACGTGCTGTACATGTACCGGTATGTGAAAGTAGAGACTCCGACCTGGTAGAATCACTGCTAGTAGAGATCCCAATCGGAGTCTCTACTGGTACAATCTGCACTTCATTTTCAGTATCATATAATCATACAGCATTTAAAGGTTTTTGGCAAACACAATATCAATGATATCATGTAGCTACATGTACCAGTAATGTGATTGAATGTTTAACTTTTAGGATATGTTGGGGAATGTTAAGTTATAACATAGACTCTCATATATGTTATCATGGAATAACTTATGACTTATTGCAGTAATTTGCTAAAATTATTATCTCCAGGGATTGAACTATTACTTTACTGTAGAATATTAGACATTACAGCCAGCCAAAATGATATCATCTTGATGCAGTACTAGGATAATATGGGATACGAAGACAAAATATCACATATTACAGGGATATAGATGAACATTGTGTGTAATGTTTTGATATTTATATCCTGTTGAAATGTAATCATTTTGGTTGACAGGGATTATGCTATATGTTATCATTCCAATAAGTAATTATCATGGTAAAACTAATGAAAATTACTTCTTGGGATAACATCCAAAAATGAATGTTATAAGTCTTCTATGTACATACTTTTCTTAATAATCAGTTATGTTTTAGTTAAATTAGCAGTCAAACTTAACAGAGGCTACATTTGTACATGTACCACTATGACAACACAATAGTTACATGTAACTTTCATAAACTTTTCACTTGTTGAAATAGATAACTTCATATAACACATTAACAGTCTTAGAGTTTGAATTGAGTATATATTGGTACATATTGGACTTATGTATCTAAATTATTTCTACTTCTGAATCATTTGAATGATTTTAAATTATTTCCAAGTCTATGTTCATATCCATTCTAAACCAAACGACAAAGTCAGGAACAAAGTTGCTGCTAACATTTGTCGTCTAGCCTAGATGGTTTACAGCATGGCCCATTGAGTATAATATATACTGATTATTGCATATAAAGTCAGAGTACTCAAGTGCCTGCCAAACAGTTTACATGAGAACCTCTTAACTTTAAGAGCACCTGAGAGATACACACATGTACCCCTATGTAGCATCTAAAGAGCATGTAACAACAACCGAGGGGCGTTCGTAATAGCATTTGTTAACGAACCTGATTAACTTCTTGTAATTCTAGAGTTTATTTCTAGGATTGTCAAAAGGTTAATGTCCTACTTAGCAGAAATAAATAGCCTCTTTATGTGTTAGCCAGGCTTGAAATGCCACCTGTGTTGGAACAGGTTAGTGCAGGTAGCTAGAATTGGAGCTTCTGTTGTCTGTGCAGGAATTTCTGTTGTCTACTGATTGTAATAATCTTTGCAGAGGTTGTGTTTTTTGTGTGCCTGTTTGTGTGTGTGCCTGCTTGTGTGTCCATAGATACCTTCCACATTCTAAACATGTTCAGGATATTGACAGCAAATTAGTTCAAAGGTCCTAGAAGAGGCTACCTCATTTCCTTTCTTCATTTTTTTCTGCAATATTCATATCTGTTGCCATATGGAAGTCATTGGGAGAATGCATGATTGTACAGAATCAGTGAGAAATTGATGAATAAGAAGAGAAATTCACACGTCAACAACTCTAAATAGTCTTGGAATATTTTTGACCTTACTTAATAGTTAGTTCATATGGAACTTGCATGAATCAACAACCATAGATTGCAACAGCATCACTCGAAACAAAACTGTTCAAGCATTATACAACAAATCCTCTTTTGCAGAGCGTATCTAGCTCTTAAAAGTTTGCGTGGATCCATAACTTCAGCGGCTGCATTTTCCTCACGTTTTTCGCAAACCCAGCTGCATAGCTTCCTACAGTAGCCTGCAATAAAAGGGATGACAGGCGATATATTGTATGCCTGAACCATTGATTTTTACGGCCCGACTCTTGACCATTTTGTTGATGTATTATTCCGCCCCCCTCTCGTATGTCAGCACGATCAAAGACTTTAGGGGGAACAACCCTGCCATATTTTAAGCGAGCCGCCGTAAATTTCGTCGACATGGCTAGCTAGTGTTTTTATGTTGGCAGGTGTTTGCAGGCCTTTGCCCCTTTGATATGGATGTAGAGGCGCCATCCATATACGAAATGGTTCGAGGTGCTTTCTACCCGGCTGGCAAAGTCGGCGGGCACGGGGGTCAAATATCATGGTCGGCTTGGGAAATCGAGAGCGTAACGCACGGTGGAAAACCCTTGCTTATTGGCCAAGGAGGTACTCCGCTAGGGCTCTCTCTCCGCCGGATAGAACAGCCAGCCTTGCAGTGAAGGGGAACATTAACTGTATAATTATTCAGCGTCTTGCAGCTTATGGGCTGTGCGTGGCAGGCATACAGACATATACTGAACAGGCAGTTGGCTATTTCATTCATTTTTTTATTTGTTTTATAATTCATTTATTTGCATAAATAAAAAAGCAAACATTAATCAACAAATGTGCAAATTCAGGAAAAAAGCTGTGTGCGGGAGGAGGAAAAAATGCCAGCAGGCTTGTACAATGTCCTCCTGCTTGCAACTTAGGACTTATTAATCATGAAACTAACATTATTCAGCTCCAGTCACCAAACAAGAATGCAGCAAAACACACAAAATTGTAGCAGTAAAGCAAGAATGTTGTAGTTAGAAATTATAATCAGACTGTTGGCACATTCTGCGAGTTATTCTGCCAAGCACGCCATACGAAGGCGGGGCAGGCGTAATAACTCTCCGCGTTCTCCGACGTATCTTTGATGTGGGGCGCGCCGTGACAGGACATGGCACGCTGACGACCCCCGACCTTTGGAACTGAGAGAACGGCGGTGCCATTATTACCGACATGAGTCGTACATCAGTCAAACCTGCCCCCGCTGAACTTGGCTGCCATAACTTTTCTGCAGATGGACTTATGAAGTTGGGGCATCCTGACATTTCTCTACATAAGGGTACTTTTAAAGCCGCATTACATAACATAAGGATGATACAAAAAGTCAATTTTCTGGCCATTTCATTGCAAAGTAAGTTGAGTCAACCCTACTCCATTGCAAACAAGTGCCATTTGGGAATTGGAGGTGCCAAAATATGACCCCTTATGAGTGTATTTGGAAGTTGACAACACTAAGCTGTCAGCTATGTTTGTTTACACTCTGGAAGTTTGTGGTGTTGCCACAAACTGGGTGTACTGGCATTGGTGCTGGTAGACTAAGCTTAGTTTAATGACATCTCTTTCTATATCTTTACTTGCCAATTTTTTCCGCCAAAGATGATAGATTTTGCAAAATTTTTGTACTAGTCCTGAGTGACGAAGAAAGGATGCTGGGTAGAACTCAGCTTCAAATGCTGAGAATTCTATTTCTTCGGATTTTCATTTTTTGATAAAATGCAGCTTGTTGTCAGCAGGGAGGAGGTTAAGGATATTTATGTATTTTTCACTGCTAGAAAGTTAAAAACTTCCAAATCCATCCCCCTTCCTAAGTTGTCTAGTGGTCCAAAAAGTAGTTAGTATGCCCCAGACTTGACTTCGTTACCGTAACATTTTCATCTGATGGAATGCCTCTTCTAAACAGTGGGTATTAGGACAGGGCAATTGAACTTTACAGGAATTACGACCCAGTGACTACATGTATATCTGTGAGAAACATGAAGACGGAGTAGCCATTTCGGCCTGACTTGTGTGAAAAGCCACGACTTAACGTCCCCGTATCGCAGCTTCGAGTCACTGGAAGTGGTCGTCAAGATTCCCCGCTAAAGGTCCCAAGTAGCCGACGCGAAGATACCATCACCTCACGCTGAAGTGTACCCGGCCGTTAGAAACCTTGTCAAAGCCGGATGAAGACCTATTCATTACCCGCGATAACGTGTAGTCCGTTCACGCCACCGATATACGGCTCCAATACCGCCCGGCTTTCGCCGCCCGCATGCCTCGCTAAACTTCCATAAAAAAAGATATAGTCTGGCCAAGTCACATCCATCTTTTTACGCAGCTGTTCTAATATCCGAGGACCCGGAGGGGGTGGGACAGACACGGATCCTCCCGGGATTCCTCCACTATTTGCCCTTGGCAAAGGACAATCCCTTTTTGTTATTAGACATACGGAGTCATTCATTTTTGATGGTGCTTGGAGCATCGTTGGCTCCTGGTTCGGCCATTCCGGTTATGAACTCACTGAACAACCATAACGTTAGCGCTATAAAATGAATAAGCTATATGTATGCAGGGCTGGAGTTCCGCGGGGTGACTTAATATGTCTGCCGATACCAAACCTTTACAGGTGGCAGAAAGTAATTTTCGGGGAAGATGAGTTCCATGGAATGAAAGGGACCTCCCGTCCGCCGCATATTTAAGACACTCATTTGAACCCGGCAGTCGAAATGGGAAAATAAGTGTTGGGAACTTCCCAAGTCTCATATGTCTGCCTTTTGAAATGTAATATCCGAAAACACCATGGGATGAAAAAAGGTCTCTTTAGGAATTGGTAACATAGCCTTTGTGGTCACTGGGTTCCAACATCTAAGTAATACGTTGCCAAATTGCTACCTCTCTTGAAGAACGTATTCATATTCTAATTTTTCTGCGGTTTCAGGTTCTGACTCTATCTACGAAATTGATAGTTTCAAAACAATCTCAAGGTTATCTTCTTTACTTTGTCCTTGAAGTCTGTCCTTGAAGTTTGCCACAATTGAGGTACAGTGTTTGATTTGAATTCTAGGAAGATGCGTTCTTCAATTTTGGCCGGGAAATGTAATTCTTATGAAACATGTACTCTGTGACCCAAGCCAATGTTGATGTCCATGTTTTTGAAACGAGCCGTGAAGTAGGCTTGTCTGTGAATACAAAATCCTCAGGTAATGTTCCGCTTCGTATTGTTCAAGGCTGGGCGGGACAGTGAGGTCTTAAAGACTCTAATAGAGGAGCCAGTGCTGAAGACTGGTGACAACATTAAACGTTTTATGGAAAGAAAGGCTAGCTTGTGTCAAAACATTATTCTGTTCTTTCAGTAGTAGAAGGATACTTCATTTCCATGTGTTATATGTGACTAGCCATTGTAGTGAAGTTTGAATAACCTTGGAATCTGTTCCAATGTCGGGTTGAAGTTTCAAAAAGTTTGAGATTTCGAAAAGTTTGAGATAAAAGTTTCAAAAAGTTTGAAGTTTTAAATTTCTTTTACAATATACTTTGTATATACAATTGCTTTGACATACATACGTTCAGATCATGCCTTACATGTACGATTAGCCTGGAATCCATCTCTAACTGGCAAATAGCTGGTAGGGATGGATTCTAGGCTTGTGTATGATAACATTTTGCCCACGTATAAATCAGGTCCAAGTCTGTGTTAAGCCATTTTTGTGTCCTTGCCCACAGGTAACCTGGGCAGAGTGGACTACATCACAGAGTTTGAGTATGACTTGTTCATCCGACCTGACACCTGTAACCCTCGCTTCAGGGTCTGGTTCAACTTCACCGTGGAAAATGTCATGGTCGGACAGGTCTGTAAACATGTTTGTTTGTTTCTTTGCTTGTTTGTTTTGTATAAACGGTAAGTTACCACTTTATGGACTAACACTCAAGTTTTGTGCAGTTAGTACAAGTTGTGTAAGATCTAACTGATACCTTTGATACACTCACTTTAGGGTGGGCCCAACTCTTTTTTCGATAAGTGTAAGTTTTATTTTCCTCTCAAAAATACATGACTGTATAATTGGTGAAATCAGAGGTTATAAAATTGTTCTTTAAGTATTAAAGATCAAAGAATTATTGTTTATCATGAACATTGGATCCATAAAAAACTGCAAACACTTCACAGCAGTCTGAAATCTCTGAGTTCTTGTCATTACTGTTGCTCAGAGGGTGATCTTCAACATTGTGAACTTCAGCAAGACCAAGAGCCTGTACAGAGAAGGGATGTCACCACTGGTCAAATCTACCAGCAGGCCGAGATGGTTGGTTCATTTTTCCTCTCAAAAATTTTCCTACTCTCCTCTCAAAAATATAATTGTCAGGTGAAATCGGAGGTTATGAAATTGTTTCTTAAATATACAAGGTCAAACACAATGCCTGTAGAGGGACGAAACCCACGTGGCCGTCCAAAAAAGAGATGGGTAGACAGTATTAGGGAAGACGTCAAAAGCTTGAAGCTGCAGAAGGCCAACCCGCTAGACAGAAGCAGCTGGAGAGCAGCAATTAGACCTAAACGACACCCCACGACGTCCAACCCTTGCATGACGGGGAACAACGGACGCTAAGCCGTGCAGTAAAACAATGATGGTTTACTTTGGACTCCATAGGTTAAGACCATACCACATTAATTTGTTGGTTCTGGGATGTATAAAGAAGATATTCTTAACTGGAAAAACATAATGAAATCAAAGAATTTTTTTTGAAAGCTGATAACATTGGTGAGGTTTTCAACCACTTTAGGCAAAGGGTGCCGCCAAAGAACGTGTACTACTACCGCTGTCCGGACCACCGCAAGAACTACGTCATGTCGTTTGCCTTCTGTTTCGACCGTGAAGACGACGTGTATCAATTCTCGTACTGCTTCCCGTACACGTACACACGACTGCAGAGCTACCTGGAGGCCATCGAGAAGAAGAACCTGGACTACTTCAACAGGGAACTACTGTGCCTTACTGTGGTGAGTGGGTGGTGTGCAAATAGATAAGCATTATAACAAAGCCCTAATTTACTTACGTCTCCCCTCCTTGGAAAACAAGAGGGGAAACTTTAGCCTTAAGTTCGCCAAATCCTTGCTTAGAAGATGGAAAGAGATGTCATAAAACTTAAATGTTAGTCTACCAGCAAAATTTGCCCCTCAAAATGCAGGAAATGGCATTTCAGAGGGTCAAGATTTTGATATTTTCCTGGGGGAGACCCTGACTGTCCCCAAAAACATTTGATGAAAAGTTTGAATGTTCATGCTACATGTATCTTTGAATAAGATAACCTAATAAGGCTGATTATTTAGATAATAAAAAATTATGTAGAAAGAGGTTCAGAAAAAAAGCACTAAATAACACTAATAACACTAAATCAATGCATGAATAAGAGACAAAATGAAGAGGATAAAATGTTAAAGTGTGCTGAATGTTCTACATGTTCCTGTCCTTGGTGCTGAAAAAGCAGCAGCTTTGTATGAAGAACCATCCAATAGAAAGTGAGCACTGATGTCACATGACTGTCCTTTTCTGCAAGCATAACAGAAAAACTACCATCTGAATGGCTCAGTGGCCCAATTAAGTATCTGAACTACTGCACAAAAAGTCTCAGGGGTCAAAGTTTTCGCTTGAATGCAACTATAGCACAAGCAGTTAACTGATTTTCCCAAAACCCCAGCAAGCGAGCTTCAGAAGATCCATTGGCTACCGTGGACCCATTGTCTGGAACAGTCTACCACCATGTACATACACATGGCCCCAACACTGGCTTACTTTAAGAGACTCTTAAATTATACAGCAATCAGAAATGACCAAAACGAACAGACACAACCCATATGGCATATACAAACTCTCCCTCTTATAATACATGTTCTTTTTGTCCCATGTATGTGTAAAGTATGTGTATAGATTTGTTAGGACTTTAAATGATGTAGGACTTTAAATGACCATTTTTTTGCTGTATTTTTTCTGACCCTTACACCAATGAAAAGCGCCCTGTAGGTCAATTTGAGCTTCTCATGAATAAAGAATGGTTAAAGTAACAAATGATTTTAGAGACTTGAGCAATTGCCAGATCAGCCCATCCCACATGTACAGTTATACATCTATTGGCCCTCTACAAGCCCTATTACCCTGCCTTACATTCTTTTTACATTTTTACAAGCAGGTGGGATTTCGTTTGTTTCCGTTGATTTTAATCCAGGCATTCAATTTCCTTCAAGCTGCACACCGCTTTGAGTGTTTGGGGATTTTCGCCCCCCTCTTACAAGTAATGATTTGTTTGTTCAATAAAGAAAAGCACAGATGCATGCAACCTGTTGTTTATGGCCCATTGTTGAGATTGATGATAACCGATACGCGTCAGCCATTTGGGACTTCTACGCAAAAGAACGGAACGGAAAAAGTTTGCCACACGTCAGAGCCAGATGCAGTTCACAGATACGGAGTGATGTAGCGAGAAGAAGTAACTCAGGCTGTCTTACAGGGGCTGAAGGATAGGACTATCTTCTTCATCTGATGGAACCAGAGCTAAGAGAGAAAACTTGTCAGACCTAGAGAGGAAAGACTTGGTTAATGCACTGCCTTGAGAAATTACCCCAAGCGTATCTGAAATGAAATCTGCGTTGTGTGCAGGTTTTTTTTTCGAGGAGTTTTTACGACGCAATTGTTTTTCGATTCCGAAGCCTCGTGAAGGCAGATCAGTGATACGGCCAGATGGTGGAATTAGAGTGCAGCTAACAAAGTCTACTTAAACGAGTTGGCACCTCGTTTATCATGGCGTTGATGGGGTGCGAGTCTTGTGACTCGTCGAGACTCGCGACCGCTGATATGTGCGGCAATAACGTCGGCGGTGTTTGAACATGCGAAACCTGCTTTGAGTCCGCGCTCTCAAGCGTGCATTTGCATATGCTGCCGGTAGATTGTAAAATAGGCTCATGTTACAAACATTGATTTTTTTTAGGACATAAGACTGTACATCGTTCAATCTAAAACCTTTATTACTACTAGCCCCTAGTACTGCACCTGGTAGTGTTATGCTCTCTTTGCTGCTGGTTTATCAATGCAAAAGCTGGATAGCTGCCATTATTACTTTCTGAAGGTGGTATTTCTTTCTTTACGCACTTGGAAAGTAAACTTTTACATTGCCATGCCACACACACACACGTCAAAGCTAAAACCGACTATTAGTCATAATTAATGGACTTGAGGTGTGGATTATTAAAGCAATCAAGTAAATATCTCATTTATTAACCGGGAGTGACGGCTTTATGAGCTATATATGCCGGGAGATCCCAACTGTGACGTGTAGAAGTAATAACTGCGCAAATTGTTCTTAATATCTATAAAGACGGATTAAAATTCTTTGAGAAATGCTGACAAAAGTGTCACTGAAAAGTTTTGGATACTTGCCAAAGACTTTTCGATCTTCCCAATCCTACAATAGGAGCCTTAAAGCTTTGGTATAAAACTTCTGAAAGCTTCCAGTAATGGTGACAACACAGAGGTAATGCCTTATGTCTCTTGTGACTTGTTTATTTGCTTCTAAGCATGTAAGGGACTGTATGTAGGGCAAGGGTTACTGGGTCAACCCTCTACTCGGACTATCCGCCTACTGCTGGAAATCCCTTCACATCGAAATGCCCTTCCTCTGGGTTCTCATTTCATTCCATTGCTGCTTTGTTTTTGTCCACTAGGAAAGTGTAGGCTCATGGCTCAGCAGATGAAATATCGTTCAGAAGCATTTTGATGTATCTGCCTGTCATTATTAATACCATTGTTGGTCTCTGAGCTGCAGCCGCTGACGTTTTTGTTTCGGGGAGTAATCCGGGAGAATAAATTCGGGGAGCAATTTTGGTGCCTCGGAGGCATGTTGGGTACGCAGGAGATTTGTCTCCTGATGCGGCGCCGTATCACCAAACCAGCCGCACTCCGTCATCGAACAGGTGTGCGACGCCAGATAAAGGCACAGAAAAGCCTGCGCAAGGATATATGCGTATCAATGCAGCATCTCGGATACACTTACAACCCAACTTTCTCTCACAGTTTAAAAGTAAACATCGCCCTAATATAATCTGGGTATGGAATACTCATAATCTAATTGTAACAGGACCAAGTTAGTTAAAACAAGATGCGCAAGGATATGCATATCACTGCAGCATCTCGAATACAGTTACAACCCAACTTTCTCTCACAGTTTAAAAGTAAACAATCGCCCTAAATAATCTGTGTATGTAATGTTGGTGAAGGTTAGACATCCAGGTAATAAGATACGCAAAAAAAACTGTTACTCAAGCAATTGTATATACATGTACTAGTAATTTTGATTTTTCCAAAATCGTATCCAGTCGCTTGTGTATGGCATGTTCATATCTGATTCTAGCGGGACCAATTTATGGGAAACAAGATGATAAATTGCCACATCTTTTTAATCCTATATCAACGTCTGGTGTTAATGAATAAAGCTATTGGTCAGTAGGTTAAGGGTGGATTTATTCTTCATAAAGCTTTTTCTGCCCAAAAGTAGGTAAAAAGGTATCCTAAGACTACTCATATTAAAAGGATAGTGTTATGGAGACTTTGTGAGGAATACCTGGATATTTGAATTGTGAATACCTTGGGGATTATTGATGCTGTATTTATTTAGTACAATGTCATGTAGATTTCTGTACATTCAACCATTAAAAAATGTAACAAGAGTACTGAGCCAAACAGATGTTTTATCACTAGTTTTGGACAGAATAAGTCCACCCTTAGGCCACGCCAACAGTTGGTTATGTGTTGTTGTGTTTTTTTTCTTTTTAGAAAAATGAAAATATGAAGCGACAGGGCAAAACTAAAAACAGGCCTAGGCTTAGTCTGATAGCCCCAAAACCTATGTCACAAAATTAATGTAGGTCAGCATACCAGGCTGGTTTATGATTCAAAAATGAATGAGCATCAGCAGTGTGAGCATCAGTGAAGGCTAGACATCCAGGTATTACTAATAAGATATACCAATTGAAAGAACAGTTACTCAAGCAAAAGGATATGATTTTAGTCACAGATGTTTGGTCAGACGTTTCAGTGACAAAAGCATGTAGCATCCACTACCTTTTGTACTGATAAACCTGCTTTTCTGACAACTCTCTTAGTGTCACTGACAAAAGGTTATGCTACCTAAAACATCTGACCGTTTCCAAAATCATATCCAGTTGCTTGAGCATTTCTTCTTTGGCAAAGTATGAATGTTTTAGAGTTGATTCAGTTCACCTACTGGCCCTTACAGTTTTATCCAGCCACGCCGCACATTTCTAAATGTGAATCTGACCCACATTTGAGATCCTCCAAGCCTAAGCAGTATCCACAAGAATCTGTGTCTATTATTAAAGGTAATTGCTTAGATGTTCTTCTATGACCCAAAAGAGGGCTATACCCATAAGTCAGTAAAGTTGGTCCTATAGACTCAGTACTTTAAATCTGCCGGGCCAGCTCCCTAAAGATTACCTGTAAAATGCACATTAAGACATTAATGTAGATGCACATATAGGACAGTAAAAGACAGCGATGGCCGTTATGTCCGAATGGCTGAATAAGTAAGTGTATGCCCTACTTGAGAGCTTTAGATGGAGAGGTTTTAGTAGTCTTCAAATGATGTGATTGAATACCCCGGGGTGAAATGTGGTACTAACTTCGGTCTAATGAGACAGTTACTGTATGTATGTAATGTTCCAGTGAGAATGGAGTTCTTTGTTGGTACGATATCAGTGTAATCTCAGCAAGTGTTGAAGTTTTTTTTTCAACAATGAGTTGGGTCAGGGCAGGGCCAAGACCACTTTTGGGTACTGAACTACATGTAGGTTGGTAGGAGGTATAGGTTACTATGCTAGGAGTTTTTGGAATGGACCACTTCATAGAATATAGACGCATTCCATTTTGTTGAATTCCAAACCATGTTTTGGAATGGAACACGTTTGAAATGCAAAAGTATGCATGTTTAAAA